GGGGCTTCTCCATGTACAGTCTATCAGTGTCTCCAGTAAGATGGCGGTGGTTCCGGTTCACCCTCTGACGTAGTTTGACCCTGACGTCTATCCATCCCCTTCATGTTCCCATAATTCCCTGCGAGACCTTTCTTTATGCGCAGTCTCCGCCCCGTTTTCCTTGCTGTTCCCTGTAGCTCCGCCCAGTCTCCGCCCCGTTTTCCTTGCTGTCCCCTGTAGCTCCGCCCCGTTTTCCTTGCTGTCCCCTGTAGCTCCGCCCCGTTTTCCTTGCTGTTCCCTGTAGCTCCGCCCCGTTCCCCTTGCTGCCCCGCCCAGTCTCCGCCCCCTCAGACCGATCCCAAACATGGCCGCCGCTAGCTCCGATCCCGCTGCCGCCTCCGCCGGGTGTCCGCGCCCCGTGTCCCCCGAGGAGGAGGAGGAGGGTGAGAGCAGCGGGGGGGAGTCGGACAGCATGCGGGGCCCCTCCGGGAGCAGCACGGGGGCCAGCTCGGGGACGGATGACGGTTACTGCAGCGGCAGCAAGAGCGGGCGGAGCCTGGAGGGAGAACCGCTCAGCCGGATGGACTCGGAGGACAGGTAACCGGGCCCCCAGGGGCCACAGCATGGACTGACCGGGCCCCCAGGGGCCACAGCATGGACTGACCGGGGGCCACAGCATGGACTGACCGGGGGCCACAGCATGGACTGACCGGGCCCCCAGGGGCCACAGCATGGACTGACCGGGGGCCACAGGATGGACTGACCGGGGGGGCTCCCAGGGGCCACAGCATGGACTGACCGGGGGCCACAGGATGGACTGACCGGGGGGGCTCCCAGGGGCCACAGCATGGACTGACCGGGGGCCACAGCATGGACTGACGGGGGCTCCCGGGGGCCACAGCATGGACTGACAGGGAATGGGGGCCACAGGATGGACTGACAGGGCTCCCAGGGGCCACAGGATGGGTGATGGGGGCTCCCAGGGGCCACAGGGATGGACGGCAGGGGCTCCAGGGGCCACAGGATGGGTGATGGGGCTCCCGGGTCCTGCCAGGATGGATTGACAGGGGGCTCCCAGGGGCCACAGGATGGAGTGATGGGGGGCTCCCAGGGGCCACAGGATGGATTGACAGGGGGGGCTCCCAGGGGCCACAGGATGGAGTGATGGGGGGCTCCCAGGGTCCACAGGATGGACTGACGGGGGGGCTCCCAGGGGCCACAGGATGGAGTGATGGGGGGCTCCCAGGGTCCACAGGATGGATTGACAGGGGGGGCTCCCAGGGGCCACAGGATGGAGTGATGGGGGGCTCCCAGGGTCCACAGGATGGATTGACAGGGGGGGCTCCCAGGGGCCACAGGATGGAGTGATGGGGGGCTCCCAGGGGCCACAGGATGGACTGACAGGGGGGGCTCCCAGGGGCCACAGGATGGACTGACGGGGGACTCCCATGGTTATAGCAAAACGTATTGTGGTGGTCACATGGGACGCAGACTGGGATTCGCTGACAGAGGAAATAATTCCCCAGACGGTTATATCACTGGTGGACATGGTGGCTATTCAACTGAATTATTCTGATTTCTCCTTCCTGTGTGTGTAGGCGGTAATACACTCTAAGTCACCCCAAATACAAGCCGGTTGGAACAGTCACATTAGGCTTGTTTTCAGCTTCTGTTGGAATAAGTGGGAGCTGGTGGCTTGTCCCCCACTTCTTGGTGCTGCTGTATATGAGGGCTGGCACTTTGTCCCCCTATACTTGGTACTTTGATATATTGGGGTGGCAGTGTGCATTACCAGCACAGTGGGCCCTGCATGGATTTCCCTGTTTGGTTGATTATCAGAAAGCGGTGCTTCATTGTACACTGAGGATTCAATTCTGCCAAATCAGTATAAATACATAATTAGATGTGTTTTTACAGCCATTAAAGGAACGATAAAACAAAGGGGGGAAGAGTCTGTGCTAACTAAAAGAGCAGCAACCCTAGAAAGGGAATCCCTCAAGAAACCCTTTGAGAAACAGGAAAATACAAAAGGGGGTTAAGGGCTGCGCTTAGGACTAAGCAATAAATAAAAATAAAATCAGCAAATATTAATAAGTAAAATCAGGTTATAATAAAATAGACAGAGTTCATCCATCTATGAAAATTATAAGTTGCAACTTGCTCACTGATATATGGTGGTAAGGTTATAGTCCTCAGGTATTGATCCGTCAATATGGCAGATAGTCCATATATGTGGATATAAAAAAACAGAAGAAAAAGCTGCCAATGGTGAAATATTGTACGTCCAGATGTGGTATATAAATCAAGAGAAAGATATTTCACTCACATTTGTTGGAGCTTGAACCAGCTCTAGAAGAAAGGGCACTTAGTGGTTTAATCCCCACTATAGGATGTACTTGGATGGTTGGTCCGGCCGTCCGGCTTGAGATTCCTTCTGGTAGCTTTGATGTAGGCTAGGACCTACTCAGATGTATGAAGCTCTAGTGCTGAGGAGATAGGTCTGCCTCTCCGGTTTTGGATTTGTGGGTATCCACGGAATATATATATAAAACAGCAGATAGTGCTCTCAGTGTGAACAGTAAGATAATTAAATAAAATAAGTTATACTTACAAGAATAGAGCAGACAAATACTGCTCTATTGCCACAGCGCTTGTGGAATTATCCCCACCTAAGGATTTCTTTGGACGGGATGGCACTATGAGGTTTTTTTCAAAATGGTAAAATTTGCCATGCCCCAAACAATGTATTGAGCATATTATTTTATATTTAAATTGTGCTTGCAGGATTTCTGGGTTAGGACAGATTAGGAGAAAAACTATTTACAATCTTTTTCCCTTCAGATTAGAGGCAGTGCATGACAACAGGGATTTCTAATCTGGAGGGGGGGAAAATCAGGCAATCCACCAACAAATTTTTGGAACCTCCCCCAGATATTCTTTGGCATAATAACGTGCCTTCTACATACAAGCTCCCCAATTATTTGCCTGTGTCAGGCAGGAGAGGTAGTCAGGCTTACCCTTTGTTGCTTTCCGTGAAGCAAGGGGTGGGAGCTGCGGCTTGGGAGACACTGCTTCGTGCCGGGAAGTCAGGTTGGCCAGGTGGTAAGCATGCTACAGGTTCCTGACAGGTGGAACGCACGTCGGACGCCTGCGTTCCACAGATATTTCTACACTTCAGCTTACATACATGCTGGGAGTTCATGGCGGTGTAATGCACGTACAGGTTATGATGGGTTCCACCATGGAATCACAGCACGCATGCGCTGTGCGATATCAGTATTTCAGGCGCCAAACTATTTTTTTTTTATTTTTATTTTTCCGAATTTTGGTTTTCCGGAAGCTATATAACGAGCAACTACCTGTTTGCAAGGTGCACTTAGAATCTGTTGCAAGTGTGTTCTTACCTGTCCTCCAGCACACTTTGAGGCCATTGAGATAAAAACTTTTGCTTTTATCTTACACGTTTCCAGTCTCATTATTCCTTCGTTAGATTAAAAACATAAAAAATATTCCCTTTCCTTTTTTCTACAATATGTCAAATACTGAGGCTGTGGAGAAATCTTCAGAGAAAAGAAAATGTACTTCAATATCAAAACATTTTGTTTGTTCGTGTTTCCAACCCATGCCTGATCTGCACTAATTGTGCTAAAGAAGCTTCAGATGTCAGAGATGTTATCATTCTTATTCTATTTACAACAAACGTTTATTGACATGCAGTCTGCACAGGCCTCTGCTTCACATGATACATCGGTAAAATCACCTTCTAAAAAGGCAGAGAACATGGGAATTCTATGATTCAAGCACTGATGCCTCCTTTTCAAGATCCGTAGAAGATAGTTCTAGTGATTCTTCTGATGAGTTTTGTTTTCCAGAATAATTTATTGGAAATCGTGTTAAAGTACAGGTGCTGATGGGTGATCAGGAACAAATTAAGAGTAAAGGGAAAATATCGAAACGC